ACGTCGATAAGCAAACTGCAGTGGGTCCTGATATGTGCTTGTTTGTCTAGTCAGGTGGGTCAGCAGAAGTCTCACTAAGACCTTCATGATGTGGGATGTCAGGACAACAGGTCTGTAGTCATTGAAGACTGATGGGTGCGTTTTCTTTGGCACTGGAACAAGACAGGAGGTTTTCCACAAGACTGGAACCTTCTCCTGGTTCAGGCTAAGGTTGAAGAGGTGCTGCAGAACCCCACAGAGCTGCTCTGCACAGACCTTCAGGACTCTGGGACTGACACCATCTGGACCTGCAGCCTTATTCCGGTTCAGTCTCTCCAGCTGCTTCCTCGCCTGACTTCTGGAGACGTAGAGGGGGGGAGGAAAAGGAGGTATCAGCATCTTCTGATATGGTTGAAGACCAATAAGTAGAAGAGTCCATGACTGAGGTGGTAGATACAATATTTGAGGTGTGACAGGACAGCCTTGGGTCAATGGAGGGTGGTATGTATGTTTGGCTGTGGGCAAGAGAGGAGGATGCTGAGCTTGTTCCTGAACTGAACCTATTGAAGAATGTGTTCAGTTCATTGGATCTGTCCAGATCAGAAGGATGGATCCTTCTGATCCTCCTTCTGCTTGAAGCCTGTGATCTTTTTCATCCCTGACCACACCTCTCTGATATTGTTCTGTTGGAGCTTGCTCTCCAGCTTCTTCTTGTACACCTCCTTGCTGTTTCTTATCTTGACTTTTAGTTGCTTCTGTGTGCTCTTCAACAATTCCCTGTCTCCCTCCCTGAAGGCTCTTTTTTTCTTGTTTAGCAGTTCCTTCAGGTCAGTGGTAATCCAGGGTTTGTTACTGGGGAAGCAGCTCACTGTTCTGGTGGGGATGGTGTTGTTTACACAGAAGTTTATATAGTCGGTCACACACTCAGTCATGGCATTGATGTCCTCTCCATGTGGCTGGCACAGTGCATCCCAGTCTGTAGCGTCAAAACAACCCCGCAGGGCGTCTTCTGCTCCCATTGACCATTTTCTCACTGTTCTCTTTATTGAAGGTTGCCTCTGAACAAGGGGTTTATATTTTGAGCAAAGAAACACAAGATTGTGATCTGATTTGCCAAGAGGGGGTCTTGCTTTAGCGATGTATGAATCCTTGACATTTGCATAAAACAAGTCCAGCGTTTTGTTTTCTCTGGTAGAGCAGCTGACAAACTGTTCGAATGTCGGAAGTGTAGCAGAGAGAGAGACATGATTAAAATCCCCAGATATTGCAACAAACACACTAGGGTGTTGTGTCTGTAGCTTAGCAACCTCGGAGCTCATGACATTACACGCAGTCTCAGCAACAGCATTGGGTTGAATGTAAACAGTTGCCAAAATAACACTGATGAACTCTCTTGGCAAATAATATGGACGACAACTTAGTGCTAACAGTTCAATATCTGGACTGCAGAGACGACACTTCACAGTAACATGTCCAGGATTAAACCATCTGTTGTTCACAAGCACTGCCAACCCACCTTCTTTCCTTTTGCCACTCCTCTTTAAATCTCTATCTGCTCGTATGGTCAGAAAGCCTGGCAAGGAAACGCTGGAGTTGGGGATATGATCCTGCAGCCATGTCTCAGTGAAACACATAACACTGCATTCCAGATACTCTGGATGGGTCCTTGTTAGGGCTTGAAGTTCATCCAATTAGTTTCCCAGTGATCTCACATTGCCCATCATGATCGCTGGAAGAGATGGTTTGAACTTCATTCTTCTCTTTGCTCCTGCTCTGCATCCATGACACCTCCTTTTCAACTCATTTGGGATTTGGGGCTGTAGTTGAGATTTTATTTGAGCTTTGGAGATGTTAACTGCTCCCAATTGTAACAAACAACCTTGTTGTTACGGTTACACATAACAAATGTCCAAAAGCAAAGATATTTCTGTAAAAATCCTTCCAGTTGCACAGCATCCGACACCAGAGGAAATAATCATCCCCCCCCAAAAAAGCGATTTATATCCAGAAAAAAAAAGAGGAATTAAAGTTTTCAAAAGTAATATCTCAGAATGAAAGTAACAGAGCTACTCCAACATGCAGCCACCTTGAGCGGCACAATTCTAGAATTGTTCTATTTACAATCCCAGTAGTTAAGAAATTAGTTACTGAAACTATAAATTGGTGTAATATGAAGAAAACATTTTGAACAGTTGCTATATCAACCACATTAAGAGGATGTGAAAAAGTAAAGCAAAAATCCTGCAGCTGGCTTGTTTGTCTTTGACTCGAGACAAAGTTCAGATGATCCTAAGTGGAATATTGACCTTTAGACCAAAAAATAAAATATTTTTTATTAAATGACGATGTTGCAGAAAACAAAATGCAATATTTACCCAAATAATAAAGTTTTGCTGCTGAGCTGCAACAAAAATGAAAAATAATTCCAATTACACCTAAATAGTTGTAAAAAGAAATATAATTGTTTAAGGATAATCTTAATTTTCATAAACTGAAGTTTCTGTTTCTCATTCGAGGAGTGAGTGCAGTTCAAGGCTTTTCAAATGTAGGTAAACCTGGACCTGGTGCGGTTACTGAGAACTGAAACCATCTGGATCACACACAGGTCTTTGTAACGCTGCTTCAAACATGACATATTCAGTCACATGCAGATTTATGCATAATAATAATAATAATGTGCATGTGTTGTCATCATTGTATGGGAACATACAATGGCCAAGCTGGCTCTCTGCATTTGGCCCATCCATCCCCAGGTGGGGCGGTGGGCGGATGTTGAGGGCGCCCGGAGGCTGACTGGGATGGGGCGTGCTGCTCAGAGACACCATGACATGTGCAATGACTTGGGATTGAACCTGGGGCTTTCAGGTCCCGAGTCGGCTGCCCTGCCTTTACCCATCTCTGCCCTCGAATAAGATGAATGACAGACTGGAAGTCACACTCTGCCAGCTGTGCCTGATGGGAAATCATTCTTGGAGGACCAGTTTAAAGGGTGAGCAAACACGGACACCAGTTACAATAGTGCTTACTCATGAGAGATTCAGTCTGACCTTTAGGGTGCTTAGCCCTCCAGTGAGGACAACGGCTCTTGGCTTGAACAATGCAGTGACGATTGGGGGGGGGGGGGGGGGGGC